ACTCTGCATCTCTCTCTCTCTCTCTCTCTCATCTCATTCAGCTCCAGCAATGAACTGTTCCAATTATACACTTTTCACATAGCTATGAGATGCGTTATACATGGATGCGCGTGCAGTTGCCGTACTGTAAGCTTAATTCACATAGCTATGAGACGCGTTATACATGGATGCGCGTGCAGTTGCCGTACTGTAAGCTTAAAGATTAAAGCTTTAATCAGGATAAAACTGTATATTAAAAGCTAACATAAGCAGTAGTGGTGTTAGCTAGCCAATCTGGGCTAGCTAACCAATCAGAGCCCATCGCGTATTTCTGAGGGAGGAACTTCACAAAAGAAGGAAATGATCAGCCCGCTTCTCAGAGAAGGGACAGAGCGGTGTGGAATAAAGGTAAATTATGTGAAAAATAATGCGTTTTTAAAAAAAACGAAGCATTAACACGTTAGACTGCACCCCATAAACACAATCAAGCCTAGAAAAAACCCAGTGAACCACCCCTTTAGACAAAACAGTTGGCTGTAGCCATTGACTTCCATGGTATGAAAACAAATACTGTGGAAGTTAATGACTGTAATCAATTGTTCCTTTAAATATTTTCTTTAGTGCTCATCTGTAGAAATAAACTCACACAGGTTTGGAACAACTTGAGGGTGAATACACGATGATGGATTTTTTTCTTTTTTTTTTGGTGAACTGTCCTTTTGATTTTGTCATGACAAGTGTGTGTTTTGTATCGGTTCTCATACAAAAGCTGAGAGAAAGCAAAGTTCAACATTCAGTTGTTACATTACATTGTAACAATCAGTGTTGGGGAAAGTTACTTTTAAAAGTAATGCATAGCAATATTGCGTTACTGCTAGGGATGTTCATTTTAACCGTTTAACCGACCGTAAGAATTTTGACCGATTAATACAATCAGTTAAAAGGGTTTAAAAGTCATTTCATTATTTATTTTTTCAGTAATTTATCAAAATATTTAAAAAGGTTTGCTGCATGGTTAAAATACGTTACGTGTAAAAAAAAAAAAATTTAAAAAGGTTTGCTGCATAGTTAAAATACGTTACGTGTAAAAAAAAAAAGTGTTTTTTAGGGGAAAGAAACATAGGTCTCGTATAAGTCGCATTTTATTATTTCATTCAGAAATAGCCCTAATGCCGAGGCGAAATGTTTAAAACGTTATAATAAACACTATTAACATAGCTAGGCTGTTTTAGTTCCCCTCACTCCACAACAAATCCTTGCAATTAACAGTATTTAGAAAAGAACAAGAATTAAAAATATAAGAAGCTATAGCTATATTCGACAAGCCAAAACAAATTAGGCTAAAACGAAACTGAAACCAACGTTGGGTCTCTCATTCCACACAAAATCAAATGTTTCCGTTTTCGCGATTGTATTTGAATGCCAAAATATTATTTATTATGTAACCTACTTCACTCATGTTCCAATATCCACGTAAAACCAAATGTTTTGCATAACATCACGGCGGTACGGTGATAACGCTTAATGGCACAGATTTTACTACATATTTAAACTGAGCAGTGTGTTTTCTCCATATGTTTGACGGCGCCGGCGCAATCACTTGAATTTTTTCCTTCTAACAGTGGAAACAACTACTCCTTTTAGTCATAAAGATAATCGGAAGGTGTGCCTTTATTTGTGGACATTCACAATAAAAACATATCTTTGTGCTTTTGTAAAATAAGCCTAAAGAAAAATAGGATGCCGCTTCCTGCCGTCTGTTTCCTTTCGTGCAGCACAACTCTGGCTATATGTTGCACAGTTTTTCTTTCATTTTCTTAATTTATTATTTAAGTAAAAATATGTTTCTCGTATAGGCCTATTTATTCGTTATATATATATATAGAGCCTAGCTTTATTATGTTTTTCTCCGCTGGCAGAAGCGCTGCAGGTGCGTGATGTGTGTGATATGAAGACCATGTGAATCCTCATGTTCTGTTGTTTGCTGCTACAAATGTTAGTATTTTTAACGGGTCACACACACTTATCCTTTCTAATTTAATTCAATTCTAATTTAAAATAATCTTGTAGGTTAACAATCGGTCAACGAGCGTCGGTTAGGAAAAATAACTGAAATGAACATCCCTAGTTACTCCATAAAGTTACTAATTGCGTTACTTGGTGACATTTTTTTGGAAAGTAATGCATTCGTTACTTTTCATTTTTGTTTGTCACCTAGGTTGGGCTTGCTTGTTTGTTTGTTTGTTTGTTTGTTTATTTATTTATTAAACCCAAGTTATATATTTGACAATTGTAAAGGCCCTTTCACACCAAAAGTGAAATGAGTAAGCCTCTGTGAAAAAGTAACTTGCATCACTTGTTTGAAATAGCAACTCCCATATTTCATTGTAAATTTAAAAGTAATGCATTGCTTTACTAGTTACTTGAAAAAAGTAACCTGAATGTGTAACTCGCGTTACTTGTAATGTGTTACCCCAGCACTGGTTACAATACATTGATACATGCATAAATCAAAAGACCTTTTTTGTGGTGTAGATCTCACTTCAGTTCAGTGTTGAAGTGCTTTCAAAAATATGTAATCATTAATTGCATATAACATCGCTCACACTGCTTAAAAATGTAAAAAAATAAAATAAAAATCCTCCTCAATGTACCATTTTGTTTATGTTCACTTAAACTTTTAATTTAATGGATTTCTCTCTCTCTCTCTGTGCAGTCTGGTGGGCTGAAGAGCTTCCTCTGCAAGTGTTCATTCATAGAGATCTACAATGAGCAGATTTATGACCTATTGGACAGTGTGTCCACCAGCCTGTTCCTGCGAGAGGACATCAAGAGGGGCGTCTTTGTAGAAGGAGCCGTGGAGAAATACGCAGCATCTGCTGCAGAGGCCTATCAGGTAGGGCTGGGCGACATGGACAAAATATCATATCACGATTATTTTTATTTATTTTTTTTAGAAATATCACTATTATTTGTCATGTTGGTTTTACTATTTTGCAAGTTGTCTGAGCATTAC